TGGAGTTGTCTCCATGGAAGGGGGACGCCAGCCGCATCCATGGCCTCTGATACGATAAGGTGTGATACCACTGACAAACGTTGACCCTTCTTTTCGTACCCACACCGTCAAAGAGTGGTCCTGGTTGGTGTTGCCTATCGGGCACCGCACCACCATGCATGGGCGACCACCAAGGGATCGCCGGTCACTTCTTGATGGATTTTTATTGTTGGAGGGTAGCCACCCCATCTGATCATAGGGTTGCAACTATTACCGGTCTCACGCTAATCGTACAGAGTTGTGTTAACTCTTTGTCCACTTTCGGGAGCCAGTGAGATAGAATATGTAGAAATTCGATCTTTTGTCCATTGCCAGGAGCCGGTGAAATAAAGATATGTAGAAATGTGTAGCCTTTTGTCCATTGTTGGGGGCTAAATGAGATAGTAAATCTGACCTTTTGTCCATCGTTGGGAGCTATGTAGATATAATAAAATCAGCCCGTCGTCTGTTGATGGGAGCCATGCAGCAAAATAGGCTCTTTATCCGGAGCCAAAATATATAGTAGTAAACATTGCTGCAAAGGACATGATCATCAAAACGCCCAGCCATGTTGCGTAGATAACGCGGCTGTATCTGGCCATGTGTAAGGGAATGCTGCTGAAGTAGAATATGTTTGTATCATTTCCAATGAAGTGGGTAAATGCCACTCCTAACGATATATAAGAGAATAATGTTGGGCACTGCTTTTGGCGATGTCGACTCCTTTGCAGCAATTAATAAAAAATAGGAACTGCATGTCTAATGTGGGGAGTGAGTGTTATGGGCCCTTGCTGATGTGGATCCGCGCACATCATTGATGATGTAACCATATAAACTCAAGCAAAAACCAACATTTAGCCCCTTACCTTATAAAATTGGTAGGTTTTAGCTCTCACCTTATAACACGACAGTTTTAGCCCTTCATCTTACAAAGTTGATAAGTTTTAACCCCTCACCTTAGAAAGTTGATAGGTTTTAACCCTTTACCTTATATTATGATATTTTTAGCCCATTATTGATATGAATTAAAGAAAATAATCCTTATCTAACATCACGTTATAATGTTCTATTAGTTCTGTTAGTTAACTATTAACATCTATTAGCATTCCATCATAAAAAATATGAAAATTTAAATTCAATTTTATTTGTTAGTTTTATTAATGGAATGCTAACGGATACTAACAATCAATTAACAGAACTAACAGTCAGCTAATAAAACTGATAGTCAACTAACAGAACTGACAGTCAGTTAATAAAACTAATAGAACATTAAAATCTGAAGTTAAATAAGAGTTATTTTCTTCAATTCGTACAGATAATGGGTTAAAAGTGTTATAATATAAGGTGAGGTGTTAAAACTTATCAACTTTGTAAGGTAAGCGGTTAAAGCCTACCAACTTTTTAAGCTAAATGGCTAAAAGTGTTATATTATAAAGTTAAAGGTTAAAACCTACTAATTTTGTAAGATGAGGGGCTAAATGTTGATTTTAGCCTATAAACTCATCCCTCAACGACTGTCAAAGAATATGTAAGGGACGAGCTTCCTTCTTTTTTTTTTATTCACCCATAAGTGGCCTTACTTGATCGTTTTGGCCATCCATAAATTTTTC